AGGTACCAAAAGGCCGATATATCCCATTGCGCCGATATATCCCATTTTCAGAGTAGATCTTGTGTTAGTAAAAATAATGACAAGTGTGAAATTTGAAGAGAATCGGATGCTTATTTCGGCTTTTATGATCGTATAGGTTTTTCAAAACTTTGACCCTTTGTGGGGGAAGTACCAGAAGGAATGGTCCGATCTCTACCATCTTTGTAACAAATTTTGCGTTAATGGAATGGAAGATTGAATTGTATCAATTCTGAATGAAATCGGGGTTTAATTTCGCGTTTTATGAGCTTCATGAATAAGGAAGGAGTGAACCGATATATCTCATCTTCACACCAGACCTTGTGAAGTGTGTTATTTGGAGACAATTAGATTCTTACATCAGGGTGATGATTATTCAAAATGTTAACCCTTTGCGGGGGAGGTACTTGATGGATTGGACCTAGCACTGAAACAAATATTAGGATATGCAAAATTGGAGCTAAATTGGACCGTTTCTTCTTTTTTAATTTCGATATTTTGTGGGGAAGGTACCAGAAGGAGTGGCTCATCTCCGAACTTGATCTAAGTTTGACGATAATATTACGATGTACCAAATTTGGATCAAATCGGAAACTCCCTTCGAGTGTCGTGCGCACCAGCCAGACAGATGAACACATTTAGATCAACTCCAAATGTCCTTGAACGGATTTGTTCCAAAGGGGCATAGGGTCTAAAGCTGCTATTTTGATCAAATGATATATAGCCCCTGCATCCATATGACTCAAGGTATAAGAAATGGCAAAAGTTTTTTTTTTTTTTCGGACAAGTTTATATTTTTTTATACCAATCAGCGACTATGGTTTGCATCCCATCGAATAGGTCCATGTTTGCGTATAGCCTCACCAATATAATAATGTCTCCGGTATTTTGATGATTTTAGCCACATTTGTTAATAGAAGTTGAATTTTGCATCCGAAGCGAAGCGGGGTTTATGAAAATTTCGGCATACCAAGGGGAAAGGGATAGAGATAAAATTCTGAAATTTGATATTTAAATTACCGATGGTGTCTGTGTTTAAGATTTGGAGGTGGTTTGGATAGGCGTCCTATATTTGTACGAAGAGATAGGACAGGAGTCACGAAATTTGAAATGAAGGTCCCTGAAATATGTACCATAATTTACCAAAACTAAATTTAGTGATATTTAGTACTGAATTTAGTATTGGATGAAGGAACAGAGCTGGAATTTGATATAGATGCCGATGTTGGTGTACGCGGCTAAGATGTGGAAAAGTGTACTATAATTGCTCGAAAAGTACTAAATAGTAGTAGATTTGGTATTGTGTGAAGGGGTAGAGTTGGAACCGTGAAATGTTATATAGCGATAACTGTAGGTGTCTAAGATTGAGATATGGAACAATTTTGTAAATAAGTACTAAAATTATATGAAAAGTACTAAATGTTAATCAATTTGTTATTGCGTGAAAGGATAGAACTGGAATATCTAAATTTAATATTGAGGTCAAAGGTGTTGAGATCTGTTTTTTTTTTTTTTTTTTGTGCAAAAGCGTACTATAATTATTCGAAAAGTACTAAATGGCACTAATTTTAAATCTCTATTGAAAGAGATTTAGATTGGATATGCATACGTTGACCTTATTAAGACCTTTTTACGGTCATAGCCCCCATCAGGCTTATTTCCAAAAATCGGTTAAAATCGCGAAACGGTAGCGGAAATGAACACCATTTTCCATTTAGTATTTTTAACTTGATTACAGCAAAGTATTTTTGTCGTGTGGGAAAAACCCGGTTTTTCGAACCGAAAGTTCGGACACAAAATCCGGTTTTTATCCGGTTCTTACAAAATATGATATTTATGGGTATAATTTGAAAGCATTATTAGCATTATTAGTATTGGTATTTTTGAACTGGGACTTTTTGCAAAGCCCCCAACAAGAAGAAAATGGTCGCATTATAGGATATTAAGATCTACATACAACATTGTAGCCTGCACTTTTGCCTTTATATAATGTGTCGATATCTCTTGTACTTACGAAGGTATTAGCGATAAAAATTATAAAAATTGAGATTTTCTTCACTAATATGTATCGGGCGAGATTTTCTGCTCTGGGGTATGCCCAATACCGGATAATCGAGAGATTCACAGTCTTTCTAAATTTTGTTGTTGCAAAATGGGCAGGCTTTATCCCTTTATTGTTGCTTTTATAAAAACAACGTTTGTTTATAAGTGAAGAACGATGGTAATGTTTACCAGGGGGTAAGGCAGGAAATACCTAGGTTTCGGAAAGAGCCACCAATCCTCATCAGTTCCCTTGTTTTTGTCTGGGATATTCTCCCCAGAAGTTATTTTAAAAATAACTTCTATGACAAAAAACATTTTTTTACCCAAGTGACGAGATCGTAAGCTCAATAGAAGAGGAACCAAAGAATTAAATAAAACTAAAATTCTTTTGGAAAGTCTTCTAAATCTTACAACCGCACTTATAAACATTTACATCTTTCTCCACTTGTTATGCTTTCGTTCAACCTGCCTTACCCCCTGGTAAACATTGCCATCGTTCTCCACTAATAAACAAACGTCGTTTTTATAAAAACAACAATAAAGGGATAAAGCCTGACCATTTTGCAACAACAAAATACTACGGTATCCCGAACAAACAAGCCATACTGTTTTTCTAAATTTTATAACTTTTGTAAATATCTGTCTATCAATCTTAAAGTTAACATCTTTAAAATCAATTCAGGCCATACTCCCCATGGGGATTGTGTCTGGGCGCCCCAAGTGATTTACTATTCCAATACGACCATAAAAATGTGGAATTTCCCAATCCAATATCTGGGTTGTAAAATCCATAGCGTAATATGAATGAAGTAAGGAACTAGCGATTTCCTACAGGTTATTCACAGACAATACTCTGAGAGAATCCAACAAAAATGGCTGGACGAAATTCCCAAAAGAATCTGGCCCACACTCTCAGAAAAGAGAAAAAGGTCGCTGATGTCATTGTCAAAACCTGATTTAAAACTTGTTGTGGGTATCATCACAGGTCATTGTAAGGTGAGGGCTATGACCTTGAAATGGGACAGCGACGACATTGACTACTGTAGGATCTGTCAAGATGAAGAAGAAATCGAGACAGTCGAACACTTGCTCTGCCACTGCCCAGCACTAATTAATGTGGGACACAGACTAGTGGGAGAACTAGTGTCACATGACCTGTCTTCTATTTCTAACACTGACCCTCTAGTAATCCTTCAATTAGCCAGAAGATTCAAGTGGCTAAAGACGACACGGTAAACGCCTCAGCCGTAGATCACATTCTACAACTTTATCTTTTATCTTCACCTCTTCTACCAATTACCTTTTCCTCTTTTCTTAACATTCTTTTAGGATGAAAACAACGGACCGCGCGTCCTTTAACCTAACCTAAGAAACTGGCGACCTTACAAAGGATACTTGGACACGTAATGTTATTTTGTCTTGTCTTTATAGGAATAAATCACTATTTTCTAGCTTTCCGGTAATGCATTATTTTTAGAATGCTGGTAATGTAGAGGGTATTTGGTAGTCATTACTAGTAATGTTTATGTTGACACATACAAGTACCAAATTTTCGTTGGGAAGGTTTCTTTTCCGATACAAAAACATGGGGTAGGCTACACAATGATATAAACAATCTTTGATCTTTGTAGTGCCCCCAGCATAATAGAGCGATACAGCTATTCCAAAAACATAATCGTGGCATGTATCGACTTTGAAGTTATTGCACAGAAAACCTTCGGCACAATATCAGAGAACAGCTCGCTATTGGTGTCAATTTAATAATTAAACAACAATTACTCAATTCATTTTACAATGTGAGAGACTTCAAGAGAATCGCACATTGATGAACCATAAAAACTGCTTTGTTTAGAGCGGTACGCCCTAGATTCAATTACGGTGGTCCACTCGAGAAGCCACCCGCAATTTATATTTACAGTAGCTGAGGTCCATTAAATCGACATAAAAACGAGGAGAGAGATACTGTGTGGTCACTGGCATGCTGGAGAATGAGGCTCCCACCAATGGTGTTGGCCATAACATGTGATGGACAAAGTAGAGCGGGTTAACACCCATTTTTTTGGAGGGATAATAAAAATGCTTTTATGGGATCAATCAAAATAGCCAACAAATGGAAAAGGTAGGAGAGAAGACAAAAGATATGGCACCTCAGTGGGAGAGAAGAATGCACTTGACACTTGTGCAAAAAGGGTCCATCAGAGTTGGGAACAATAGAAACAAATTTCAAAACGGTAGATAAGGCTACCGGAGTTCAAGAGAACAATGGCCAGAATATACAAAACTCATTAAATTCAGAACAATAAAGTAACAGTGATGACAATGGTCCAGAACAGATTTCGAATTTATGAGGCACCATTACATATCGAATTTTTCAAGAACATTGGCAATAGGGACAATGGGATCGATGGTTTGGCCGAAGATCGAAAAGAATAACGAAGTAATGGCGAGACAAGTGCAATTTTCAATTTCTATTCTTTGGAAGGACCTATAAAGAAAAGCAGCAACAAAATCTATATTTTTTGGCCGAAAAGAACAATAGAGTTTGAACAGGCAACAGGTAGCAGAAGCCTCCACTCATCATCATCATTTACTTTGGTGAGTGTGGAAGATTGCATGAAAGTGATAGGAAAATGATAAACGTACCAGGATGTCCTTTCACAAGGACGCACAAGTGTTTGCATTACTCTGCCCTTTCCAAACCATATATTTGTTGTTGTTATGGCAAGGATAAATTTCCCTCTCTCTGTGCCGCTCTCCAAAAAAAACAAATCAAATAGAAATTAACTAGACTGGCTACTTGACGAAAACACAAAAAAAAATAAAATCTTGGAAAGATAAAAAACTAATCATTATTCTGGCACTTGTGCGATTTGGTCGGAGACAGGGATTCTTTTCTATTTCATTTTTGGTATTTCGTTTGTGGTCATGGTGGTACTTACTCTTCTTCGTCGCCTAATTTATCACTGGTCATACAATAGTCCTTTGTTGCCAGGATTCTGCCATCTAAAAAGAAAGAAAAAAAAAAAAAAAACAGAATATTTAATTAGTATTTGGCCAAGAGAAATAAATCAATGGATTCTTGGAAAAAATTAAAATGACTAGAGTACTGCAAGTGCAAAATCAGTGGCCAGATAACGGCAGGAAACATAAACAACAGAAATATGGAACCTCCTTTCCCATTTTGGATAGATGGCAAGTGTAAAGGTCCTTCTTCTTCCTTGAATTTGAAATTATTTATTGCTAGCAATGCTGATGAAATTTATACCGTTTAGCTAACGGTTTGAATTCTATAGCATGCAATAAATCTCTGTTAAAAATTGATTTTCGTTTTTGATAGAAACCCCAATCTACCATCATTGACTACAGATTCATATTAGAATGGGGAAATTACACTTTTTTGTGGTCGTATGTTAGCACCTAATAAATCAAGGATGTCTATGGCACTTACTGAATTTAAAAAAGGCTTCCTGCTTCCGTATTTCTTAGAAAGAACACTATAACATTTTCTTAAGGGCCACCGTCGATCTCTGAGGATGGCATGTAATTAATCAAGTGAAATACGATTTGTGGCTAGAATTTGGCAAAATATGCCTTTTTTCATAAATCTTTAAGAAAGAATTCCCAAATTCATTGGAGATAATGGGTATGGGTAATATTTTTTGGTATGTGTGTATACATTTTTAATTCCAAATCGTGTTACACTACTTCTAACTTAACAAAATTCTCAGAGATTTAAATATTATTGCAAAACGCTACACCTTTTTTTCGAGTATAAAAGGAGCTTATATGAAATTTCTAAAAAAAAAAATGAACAAGTGTAAAATGGTTCGATCGGCCGTCTGATAGTTCGATCGGCCGAACTTTTAATACCTTTTAATACTTTTAATACCTGTACGATTTGCAAGGAACTTGAAAAATTCCAACAAATTCCGAAAAATACCGTTAACATGATGAGCTTAATACGGGGGCTATACGAAGACGCGGACTTGCATAAGTAATTTTTTTTCATAGGCAGTTGTACCGATCCTGAACTTCAAATACGAAATTTGAAACAATTCCGGCGGACAATGTAGCTAAAATGATCAAAATACTGAATAAAGGGAGGTACCGCTATATGGCGTCTATACGAAGAAGTGGAACTGCATACGAGATTTGTTGTTATGGCCTTCAAATACGAAATTTGAAACAATTCGGGTAAATAATGTCATCAAAAACATAAAATATCGGTAGGTGCCGTTATATGGGGGCTATACGAAGACGTGGGGGCTTTACGAACATAACCTGCCAACACATGTGTGCAAAATTTTAGCCTTCTATCTCAGATCATTCTAAATATATAGATATATATGGAGTATTCGAATCTACAGTTCAATGCCAATCATAAAAAAATTGGTAACTCTTAGTACTTTTCTGAGGCCATAAGACTGAGGGTGCAATCTTATGGTCTCAGGGGATATGTAACATTCGATATATACAAAACGTGCCTCGTCCAAATAAAAGACCCTCTGTTTCCTTGGAAAAAAACTCTTTTCAGTACATTTGGACTTGATCATAAGTCCAGTGCCTACAGATAGCATATATCATTTGATAGACAAATTGTGCCTTATCGAAATAACCATTTTACACCAGATTTGGTCCAAACTTGGTACATCGTAATATTATTGTCAAACTTAAATCGAGTTAGGAGATGGTCAATATAGTTCCCACAAAATGTCAACATTTTCAATGAAAATAATTTACTGCACAGAAAGAGAAAGGATAATCCGATTTTGCTCATACTTTGCAAATCCTAATGTTTGCATCATTCAGGTGCGAAAATGGACAATATCAGCCCACTCCATCTTCCCCCACAAAGGTCAAAATTTGGAATAATTACAACTCTTATAAAATGTGATGTAAGTGTCCGATTGTCTTCAAATTACAAACATCACAATATTTTTATTAACCCATGGTCTGGTGTGAGGATGGTAAAAATAGTAGAGATCGAACCATTTCTTCTGGTACCTCCCATACAAAGGGTCAAAGTTTTGAACAACAAAAAAGATAAAAAAAAGCCGAAATAAGCATCCGACTCTTCAAATTACACACATCACAATATTTTTATTAAACCATGGTCTGGTGTGAAGATGGTATATATTCGCCAACTCCTTTTGTTACCTCACCCACAAAGGCTCAAAATTTTGAATATCCATGAAGGTTATAAAACACGAAATTAACATCCGATTCCATTCAGACTTAGCACATCCCAATATCTCTATAACCACAAGAACTGTTATAAAGATGGTAGAGATCGGAGATTTTCTTCTGGTACCTCACCCACAAAGGGTCAAAGTTTTGAATAACCAAAGCGATCATAGAATCCGAAATAAGCCTCCGGTTCTCCTCATATTACACACGTCCCATTATTTCTAGCAACTTAAGGTCTGGTATGAAATTGGGATATATCGGTCCACTCCTTCTGGTACCTCCCACACAAAGGTTCAAATTTTGCATATTCATTTAGCTTTTACAATGCGAAATTAACATCCGATCCATGGAAAATATCGTACCATTTTTTCTGGTACCTCACCCACCTAGGGTTCTAGATTTTGAAAAACAAAACGCTCAAAAAGGGGATTAGGCATCCAACTCTCTTCATATTTCACACATCCAAAATTATGGCCTTCAAACGGCCAATGAAACCGTCACACGCTGCCCGAATGTTGCTCTGCGGTATTTTGGCCCATTCCCGGCGAAGCGCTTGCGTGAGGTGATCGACACTTTGGTGTTTTTTAGTTACAACCTTGCTTTCCAAAACACTCCAGACACAATAGTCCAACGGATTGGTATTCGGAGATTTTTGTGGCCATTGTGCGCAGGAAATGAAGCGATGAACCTCATTTTGTAACCATTCTAGGTTGGCGCGTGCTGCGTGCGATGGTGCTGAGTTCTGTTGGAATGTCCAAGGTTTGCTGTCAAAATGTTTGTGTTCCCAAGGCCTTACTACACCCTCCGGAATATTTTCGCAATAATACCCGGCATTTATTCTGATGATTGATACGAGCGGAGAGCGACTATCTGCTGTTATGGCGGCCCAAACCATCACCATGGTCGGCGCTTGAGTTCTGGTGGCCAACCGAAGATGCACATTTTCAGCGGACCTCTTTGGCAAGTAAACACGATCATTTTGTTTGTTTTTGGCAACGAAAGTTTTCTCGCCGGAGAAAACCAAAATCGGTCGTTCACCACTTTCGGCCAAGCGAAGCAACTCTTTAGCTCTTTTGAGTCTATTTTCTTTCTGTTGCGGTTTAAGTTCTTGCACTTTTTGGAATTTCAATGGCCTAACCCTGAGCTCATTTTACAATATTTGCCGAATGGAGTATTGCGATATGTTCAGCTCACGAGCCATTTTTCGGCCACTGCGACGCGGGTTTCGATCAGGTCGCTTTTTTACTTTTTTACGAACCATTTCTGCTGATGTTGCCGTTTTCTTCCGTCCACTTACTTGACGTCGGGCTACGCTACCAGTATCATGGTACGAGACAAAAAGATTCATTCACATTTAAATGCTGGAATGCTCTAACGATAATCACTTGTGGTTTACCAGCCAAATATAAAGAAATCACACCATCACGCATAAATTCCATCACGAATAACTTTTTTTCTGGAAAATTCTCACCAAAATGCTTTTTTACGCATGTAAACAATATGGTGAGCTGTCACTGGAATAATTTCAACAGCTGTAGGACGAGTGGCTTAGAAATAACAGAAGTCTGAAGTTGGTTGCAGTTTTTTCATCTCACCCTGTAATATTATTTAACATATTGACCTGTTGTCGGAGAGGTACCAGAGGGTGAAATCCGTTCTATTCGTTCTTGATAATAGATCTTGTGTTGGTGCAAGAATTGAGATGTGTGAAATTTGAAGACAATCGGACTCTTATTTGACATTTTATAGAGTTATAATTATTCAAAATGTTGACTCTTTATGGGGGAGGTACCAGGGCTTGTGTTGGTTGAAATATAAGGATGTGCCATGTCTCATTTCGCCATTTATGACCCGTTGTGAGGAAGCTACCAGAAGAAGTGGCCCGTTCTTAATACCAGATCTTGAGTTGGTAAAGGAATTGATATGTGTGAAATTTGATGATCACGGACATCACTAGATCAACTCCAAATGTCCGGACGGATTTGGTGCAAAGAGGCCTAATTTTGGCCGTATCTAATGATATATATACCCACTGTGGCCGCCATTAAATTATGGTTTTGAATTATAATCTCTATATTGGCGTTGGTTATTCTTCCCATCATTATGATTGAAATCAATTATTTTACAAAAATACGCAAAATCAGTTCGCGTACGTGTTCTGTCTGTTGGTGGCATAAAAACAACCGTTGTTTCAGCACTCAACTCAAGTAATGCACAGCAAAGCAATCATAAACTCCGGAGCGATATTGTTGACGAAGTACGTGATATTTTGCATATTTTCCCCCAAACAATCAAACAAACAAAGACCCATCAAAATTCTTTAGATCTGGTGGTGTATTGTCGTCGCCTTCTTCGTTGACGACATGACGAGACGAGACAGAGACGACGTGGAACTTTGTATTTATTTATGCAGAATGTAATGGTGTTGCGCCTGCGCAGAACAACTTCCTTTCGATGTAAACACAATGTGCCCACACTTTCTTTTGAACAACAGAAACAACAACAACGACAACAACAACAACACCACAAAACATGAGAAGACCTCTAGAAAAAGGCACGTCGTTCTGTTGCTACATATTTGCGTTTTACAGCCCCGCAAAACCGCAGTGAGAAAAAAAACCTAATTCGTTTTTTAGTTCAAGCGACGAAAAAAAAACAAGGAGGCACCAAAGGAAAGGAAATAAGCTTCAGTGAATTTTCTTTTAAACTCAATTTAAATGGCTCAACATATTGGTTTAATTTTTATGGTTTTTTTCTTCGGAGAGGTACGAAGGAGTGGTGAGTGTCATTGGCACGGTGACACACACAGTGTGGCA